CAATAAAATGAAATGAAATAATTCATGGCCTATAGATTCGGGGGGGGGGGGGAATTGTGGAAAGTAAGATTATATAATATTAGTGTTCTGAAACCACTGTGGAACTATCATGGCTGTTCCTAGAACATCATGAAGAAAATGGGACCCGTCATTAGAAAAAAACCTTTATGAGCCAGATTGAACTCTGTAGGAATACTGCTGATGTGAGTGGAGTTATACTAGGATGATTTTGATCTATTCCTTGTGAGAGCTATTTCTCATTCACCAAGATAACAGCTGCAGAATGCTCATGACAACTGTAATCTTTTTTTTTTTAAAGGATTAGAAGTAAAAGACTCTCCAGGACAGAATGACAGTCCAAACTTTCTAGCTTTGTAGTAATGGAGTGGAGTAAGCAGTATTTTTTCATGATTGTGTTTAGTGTGAAGCAAGTCTCAATTCTCGTGCAAATTCTTTGCTTTCTACACATGCACACTTAGATATATATGGATTCTGCACTGACCTGTATTTCCATCCCCTCCCCTGTGTGGCTGAAAATTCCCGCCGGCTGACATAACAGCTGTACAGTGCTGAAGGAGATCCAAAAAAGGCTGAAGTGCCATTCTCTGGTTGCTGTTTCCAGCCCGACAGCATAAACGAAGTAACCATTTGCCAGCTTCTGATTCTCTGCTCTTGGTATCTGCTTACAGTACATGACGATTGCAGGGCATTGCACATCTCACACTGAAGCAGGATATCTGAGTATCGAGAAAACCTTATGTAAGATGTTAAGATGTTGTTACACTGCTGCAGGTACTATTGCAGGTATTAGTGTCTAATGTGCACTCAGAACACTAAGAATCTACATTTCATGGAGTAAATACTTTTTTCATATTTTTCTGTATTATTATTTTTTAATGAGGAACATGCACCTGTTCGTTTAACCAATTTCTTTTTGTGCCATTTGTGAACCTAAAAAAGGACAGTGCATTTTAATAGTCCTAATATCACTATAACAAACTGCCTTTATATATATTTTTTAATTTTAATAAAAGGAGACTGGCTTAAAAGGTTAACATCCCTAATAAACTAAAAGGGTGATAAAAAAAATTAGAATGTTAAAAGATTTCTTGAGTTTTTGTAGCATGGGTTGGCAACAGTTTTGCATCTATCATACTGGAATGCCAGACTCAACACCTATCTCTCTTTAGAATTTATAACCTGCCCCTTCATTCACATGGAATGTGAAGTCATATATTTTAAGACTTGCAAAGAAGAGTATGCACCTTTTTTTAAAAAAAAGGTGAGGTGTATGCACACTTTTTCTTTATCTGTTTTAGAGGTGCAACCTCTACTTGAATTGCTCCTATATCCTGTATTTTCGCACTGGTACCTCCTTCAAACTCAGTTGCAGTTTGACTTAATTACCAAACATCAAGCACTGGTTATTCTGACTGTAATTCAACTTGCAGCGTGGACAGAAGCAGGAAGCCGTTTTATTACTTCTCTGCTTGCACAGAGTGAGTTCTTCCCTACTTTCGTCTCTAATCATAGCAACACATTATGGGATAACTATGAACCAGTGTTTTCAAAAAGGGGGATATAAACCTGGAAGAAACTATGGTGGCATACTCCAAAAGGCCAGAGAAATGTTGATGGAGCCAAAGAAAAGTAGGTACTGCTTTTTATCAATCCAACAGTAGGAGTTTTCTCCTGGTAAAATGGTGAGTATGGGTAGATGTACCTACAATGTATCAGTCTGGGCATATTTTTCCCCCTTCAGAGAACTTCCCCCCCCAAAGCTACTAGGGCTAATGGACTGAGTACTAGGATACAATGGTGTCTTTGTAAGATGCAGGGGAATTTTAAGTGGGAATCTCCAGGACATTCATTTCAGCATACATCACCACTGAAAAGGTCTAAAAATCACTGCAATTTTAACTGAAAGGAGAAAGTATGAATAAGCACAGATTTTGTTTTTTGATATACAGGCTTTTGAAGGAACTGGCATAGGCACATCATTCCATACATTTCTACTAGACAATGTAAGTGGATGGATTCATTTCACTGCCGTTGGAACTATTTTCTCAAAGGCAATTCTTTGTTAGCAACAACAATATGCATGCAGATTTGAAGAAACGGAAAACGTTTCTTCACCAGAAGTTATGGTTCCAGGATGTGTAACTTGGCATATTTCTATTGATTTCATCAGACTAACTTTGTTTATAGTAACAATCAATTTCTACATAGTCAAAGCTATAAATGTTTTTGTACTATACTTCTCGCTAGAATAATTACAGAGCAATGGATTTCTCATTCCCACTTACAATGAAAGAATGGGGAATGGGTTTTGTAAAAAAAAAAAATATTTACGTTTTGATCTATGGAGAAAATTAGTACTGTAATAAGTCTAAATTCTCCTTCCCTTAACTGTGTCGCATATTCTCATCCCTACTGTTGAAGAATAAAGCTGGAAGACAGGCTGGCACTGTTGTAGAGCAGAGCCTCCTTGGTAGCTGCACCACATCTGTAATTTTCCCTCCGTGGAAAGATCATTTAGTGGGAAAGACCTGGTATTAATCCCTAACACAACAAGGTGGGCAGGGAGGCCATGCGCTGGGAGAGGAATGAAACGTAAAGCTCCCTGCTCCTCAGCTGATTGGCGTGGATCCTTGAAGGTCCAATTTTGATCCCTATTGTGGTGCACTGGGGAAGTTTTACCCTTCCTGTTCAGTGTGCCACAATGGGGATAAACCGTCATTCATCACTCATCAGATGATTCACGTAAATATGGGGGGGGGTTTGTCTTCCCAATTGTTGTGTGTGAGGCATGGAGGTTAAAACTTTTCCATCCAGCATACCACGATGGAGATGAAAGTCAGACCATCCCTGCCCTTCAGCAGATCAACACTGTTGAACTGGGTAGGCACAGATTTCATCCTTATCCCAGTCCATGGCAAATTCTGGGAAACAGGTGGAGAGACCTAGCAACCAAACTAGGCCCACAGACCAAAGGGTCCTCCATCCCTGACCTAGCCCAATAGTCTGAACCATCTGACAAAAACTTTTTTGTTTCAAGTTTTCTGGAGCACTATAAGAAAAAAGTGTCAATGGTTTAGTGTTAAAGGTTTGAGACTATTAATCCACGTTGTGTGCATAGTTACTTGCCTTAGGTTAATTCATGGTAAAAGGTGGGATATGCAAATCATGGGCAACCCAAAGATTATATTCTAACAGCTGTGCATCACTGAAGATAACCCATTCATCAGATATCTTTTATTTTAGGGTATCAGTTAAAAACTGGTCCCTTCTACCTGGCAGCAAAGGGTTATAGACGAAAACCCTCATTTCAGAACATTCTTCCATAAAACTCCACTGAACAAGCATCACTAAATGGCAATATATGATAGCCATCTTCAAATACTGAAAGGGCTGTCACATGGAAGATGGAGCAAACTGTTTTCTCCTGCTCTGGAGGGTAGGACTCAATCCAATGGATTTAAGATACAAGAAAGGAGATTCTGACTAAACAGCAGGAAGAACTTTCTGACAGTGACAGCTGTTCAAGAGTGGAATGGACTCCCTTGGGTGGTGGTGGACTCTCCTTCCTAGGAGGTTTTTAAGCAGAGGTTGGATGACCATCTTCATGGATGCTTTAGCTGAGATTCCTGCACTGCAGGGGGTTGGACTAGATGACTCTCAGAGTCCCCGCCAACTCTACAATTTTACGATGATTTATTCTTAATTACAGTATTGGCAGGAAGCACTGTGTATTGTCAGCCTTAACTGGCACTGCTTTTAAATGAAGAAGTCATTGCAGTTGTTTATTTTCCTCCAAAAGTACAGTGGTACCTCGGGTTAAGTACTTAATTCGTTCCGGAGGCCTGTTCTTAACCTGAAACTGTTCTTAACCTGAAGCACCACTTTAGCTAATGGGGCCTCCTGCTTCCGCCGCAGCATGATTTCTGTTCTCATCCTGAAGCAAAGTTCTTAACCCGAGGTACTATTTCTGGGTTAGCGGAGTCTGCAACCTGAAGCGTATGCAACCTGAAGCTTATGTAACCTGAGGTACCGCTGTATACAAGCTTTGGTGGCATCACTACAGTGGTGATAATTTGTTCGGGGGGGGGGGGGAGAAAGAAAACCTGGATTCAGCTCAAAGTATCCTATCCCATCCCAAGATAATTGATGCCATACTTCCTCTTGGAGGTGTGCAATATTTTGAGGACTATCAGTTTGAGGCATTAAAAAGAAACGAGAGCCAATTAGATAAAAGGCAGAAGATGGCACTGCATCCTCTTTGTGTGGGCTACACAACTGCTTCCCACAACTCTGCCTTGCAGACTCTTGGATGGATGGCTGTGGCTTCTGAGCCAATGCCACACAACTTACAGATATCAGGACACCACTGAATCCAGGCCCCAGCAGACAAGCATCAACCTAGAGTACAGCCCTCTCTCCCCTCTAAGCATCTTTGCCCAGTCCAGTGAGACTTACTGCCTGACTTGGGGGGTTTGTTCTGGCTGCCTTCTATGGGTTTAGGACTGACACTACTGGGATTTCAAAGGCGGAATTGACATTGGGGGAGAATTTCCCAAAAGTGGTGCTTTGTCCTGGAGTTCAGGAAAGTCAATCGAAAAATCATGGTTCTTTTCCTCGCCTTTCCCTTTTAAAAAGCTCAACAATTTCCGTGGTTTCCTTTAAAAAAAAAAGCGTTCACAATTTGGGGGCCTTCCTAAAAACTTTCGGGGTGCCCTGGTTTTTTTTTTTTTACTTTTCGAAATATGGCAACGCTTGAACCCAAGTGGTATTCGATTTCTCGTGCTTTCTTTCCCAGAACTTTTTAGGTGGGTTTTTGCAACGGGTCCCCTTTCTATTGTCCTGAGGCTACCTAGAAGCAGGAATCAAGAACCGCACGCCTTGCTTCCAGGGCCGGCTCCTTTCCGCGACCCGCCTCTGGCAAGCCAGCCGCGCAACCTCCAGCCTGCTCCGTGTGCGAGAGCGAGCCGAGCGCGAGCGAGTCGGTAGCGCCGCCGCCGCCGCGACTCCTCCAATCGCTGGTCAGGTCCCTGCCCCAAGGGGGCGGGCAGAGTCTTTGATGTCGGGGGTCCCGGGGTGGCCGGAGAGTCCGCGAAGCTGGCACCCTTCCCTCCTTGCGCGGCAGGGAAGAGCGAGGCGGCGGCAGCAGCAGCAGCAGCTCTGGAGGGAGCGAACGTGGAGGGGAGGCGGCGGCGGCGGCAGCAAGAGGCAGCGTTGCCTTTCGCGAAGAAGTCCCAGGCGAGCGGGGACGCCGGGGCGGAGAGGAAGAGGCGGCGGCGGAGGAGGAGGAAGAGGAGACGCGGCGGCGGCGGGCGCAGCGCGGGCGCCGCGGGAACATGAGGGAGCCGCGCCGTCCCAGGTCGGCCCAGCCGGCGAGCGGCTACAGTAGCTGCCGCGGCCGCCGCTGAGGCAGCAAGGAGCGGCGCCGGAGGCGTTTGAGGCCGGCGGAACCATGCGGGGTCCGGAGGGGTTGGCGCGGCTGCTGTACCTCGCCGCCCTGCTCGTCGCCAGGACGTGGGAAGCCCGCCTGCACCCCAAGCAAGGTAAAAGAGCCGGCCGGTTCGAAGAGCGCGCCCGCCCGCCCGGGCTCGGGCACCCGCGCGAAAAGCCCCGGCCGCTCGCCTCACGCCCCTCTCCGCCAGCAAGCCGCTTTCTAGGAACCCGAGGCTTTGGCGCTGCGGTGGCGGAGGAGGAGGAGGGACAGTGAGGCGAGCGCGCGTGCGCGTGGGGAAGGAGCCTCGCACGTGCGGGAAGAGCGCGCGGCGCGCGCTGAGGCGAAGGCAGAGCCCGGCTGGGGCTGGGCGCTTGTCTCTTTCAGGTGCATTCCCGCCTGGGAGGCCTTTTTTCTCTCCGTCCTCGTACATGGTTGCACTATGGCAGATAGGCCAGAGCAAAAAACATTTCAGGCACCCATAAGAAAGACATTTGTCCTGGGTTGTGTTTGGAGCTCCTTATTCAGTGGGCAAAGAGGAGCAGTGCCTGTTCCCACTGGCCTTCTGTTATTATTGCATGGACGTTGGAATTAATTCATAAGCCCCTGAAGAAATAACATTTTCTCACTTTTATATCATAGGATGTGTTTTGGAATATGCCAGACTTGCAGTGTTAACTAAGTTTTACTCAGGGTCAGCCCACTGAATTAGCATGATTAACTTAGGCTCGTTAATTTTTAGTATGTGTACTCTGAGCAAATTTTGGACTGGTTTTATTCATCTGGTGACTTAACATCATCATCATTCAAGTTTTAAAATGGTGCGTAGGAGCGTAGCCAGAAAATAGCCTGTATTGTATTGTTAGGAAGGTCAGGTATGAGTGAACCAAAAGTCATTGTTTTTGCCCTTTGTATATTGATGATGCATGTATTGTGCCATTGTTAGTTTGTACATCTTTTTCAAACCACGGCGACTGAAAGATTGAGTCAGAGAATTGGGCCGACTTAGCTTATTGCTGTCTGCACCAGGCATGGCCAAACTTGGCCCTCCAGCTGTTTTGGGACTACAACTCCCATCATCCCTAGCTAACAGGACCAGTGGTCACGGATGATGGGAATTGTAGTCCCAAAACAGCTGGAGGGCCAAGTTTGGCCATGCCTGGTTTACACTGACCGGCAATGAATTGCCAGGGCTTTTGCCCCAATCCTATCTGGAGTTGGTGCATGTGCAGATTATTTGTGCAACCTCTCTGCTTTCAAAAGGGCAGATCGTATTGCACTGGTTTCCCCGAAGAATAGAAAGTCTAGCCTTGTCTCCTTTGGTAGGCAGTAGACTGTGATGGATCCCATGCCTGTATCAGGAATCTGCACCATATTCAAAGTGTGTACCTTTGCTGTTTTGTTGCAGAGACTTTGGTGAAACATCTGCCGTCCTATGAAATAGTGACACCCACGCGGGTGAATGAATTTGGAGAAACTTTTCCTCATACTCACCACTTCAAAAGGAGGAAAAGAAGCATGGAGACAGGTGTGGAACCCATCCCTTTCAGGACTCACTACCGCCTCAGTGCCTATGGACAGGTATTCCAGCTGAATCTGAGTGCTGACACCAGCTTCATCGCTCCTCACTATATTGAAGTACATGTGGGGGCCACTGAAAGGCAGCCCCCCTCAGATTTGCGCCACTGCTTCTACCGTGGGCATGTTAATGCACAGGAAATGCACACAGCAATCTTCAGCATTTGTGGTGGCTTGGTAAGTACTGTGTTTCTTTCATTCAGGTTTGTTCTGTCTGAGTGGGAGAGCTGACTTGTTGGAGAGCTGGCTGCTGAATTGGAGGTTTTATGGGTTGCTGACCATAAAGGAAAGAGATTCTGAAGCGCTGTTGGCTTCAAATAGAGATGATATTCTTTGGGATACATATATGGCGTTTATATATAATATCTACATTTACCGTAATGGCATTCTGTCTGATATCATGAACTTTGTAAAATGCAACAAAACTGTGTAGCGGTTTGGGATTCTGGCAGTCTTTTCTCTGTCCAAAGTACAGTATGATGCTGGAATTCAGTAGAGTATACCTTTTCCAATGGCACTATATGGGATTGCCATATGGCCTCTTTAAACAGCGTCTGGGCGGAAATTGGTTAAATGTTGGAAATCGCATAAATGTAGGAAGTGTAGATTTTGGTTAATTTCATTAAAAATAGCTGAAAAACTCGTGTTTTGTTTTCTGAGATTTTGCAGACTCAGAAGGGATTATAAAGAACCGTTGCAGCATACACAGTGTGTCACTTCAATTCAAGTTTCGTCTGTCCTACTCACTAGGGAAAGTGCTCCCCACCACTAGCAAATTGCAAGGCTTTCTTCACATTTTTTTTTTACAGATTGGAAATTAAGGCTGAGAAGTGATGTATCCAAGACCATGCAACAGCCTGTGCTAGGGCTTGGAAGCAGAACTCTCAGGTCCCATGTGCTATCTGCTTTCTAAAAAGTTACTGTGTTGCCTATGCGTGTGATATCTGAGCACTTTCTACAGCCAGCTAGCCCTTCTGAGCCTAGATTCGTGTAAAAAAAAGTGGATTCAGCATCTGTTGCTGAATAACTCAGGTCTTTTGAATTTCAGCCCGTGTTTCATATTTCCAGCTATGACTTAATTTATGTCCAGATCTACTTTTAGCAATGTCAACAGATTAACTAAAATTTTAAGTCCTTTTTAAGGAAGTTTATTTGAGATCTAAGCTATGGAAGACTGAAACTCTTTGAGTGCTGGAATCTTGAAAAGAATGGGGGAATCCAACTATTACACTTTTTGACATAAGGCTTTACTGGGACATGGATGAATGGAGTTAAATAGACTATATTTTGCAAGCCATTTAAACCTACAAAGGCATTTCCACTGTGAGTTCCAGCTGTGTTTTGCTGCGATGGTACTTAAGGCAAACAGAGGGTTATGGAAAGGTCCCTTCAGCATGTGTCCATTGAGGTCCATTGAGCATATGCCATTGAGCATGTGTAAATGTCCTGTGAGTGCAGTTTTTGGCCACAGGAGGGCTGCTGAGAGGGGATGGGTCAGTGGCAAGAAATCCCCATGCATGAAAAGTGATGGGGTAAATGGACTGTATCCTGTGTAATTTCTGTTGAAATGATTGGCTTTCTAGTGTTTTAACTGTTTCCTGAGAACCATTTGGCTCTTTTATTGAAAGCTATTTATATTATTTCAGGGACGAGGGTGGCGCTGTGGTCCAAACCACAGAGCCTAGGGCTTGCTGATCGGAAGGTTGGCAGTTCAAATCCCCGCTACAGGGTGTGCTTCCGTTGTTCGGCCCCAGCTCCTGCCCACCTAGTAGTTCGAAAGCACGTCAAGTGCAAGTAGATAAATAGGTACTGCTCTGGCGGGAAGGTAAACGGCATTTCCGTGCATTGCTCTGGTTCGCCAGAAGTGGCTTAGTCATGCTGGCCACATGACCTGGAAGCTGTCTGCAGACGAACGCCGGCTCCCTCGGCCTATAGAGCAAGATGAGCGCGCAACCCCAGAGTCATCCGCGACTGGACCTAACGGTCAGGGGTACCTTTACCTTTACCTTTGTTTATATTATTTACACAAAAAAACCCCTTTATTTATTATTGGTATTAATCACATCAGGATTTTATTTTATTTACTATTATTTCCTAGGAAGTAGAATTGATGGTGCAATTGGTGCTTAATCTATATACATGTTTCAGTAGTTGTTCTAGTATCTCTTCCTCCCCTTTGCTGAAGTGCATTTATGGCTCAAAGTGTGTTGAGATTCATGATCTACAGTTATGCGTATTTAAGACGTGAAAGTTTGTGGCTTGCCACTTTGGCTTGTTTCCTGAGAACTATTGCAGCCCCAATTTCTCAATTTCGTTTTGGCAAACCTCCATACTAGAGATACATTATGAGCATACAGTAACTTCAAAATAGGATATTGCTGTTGTGGTTTCAGTTTGTCTTATTTGTTATAATTTAACAATGTTGTATCTTCTAGCTTCACTGTTGCCTCTTATCAGTAAACAAAAAGAGATTTCATAGAATCATAGAATTAATAGAGTTGGAGGGGACTTGGAGAGTCATCTAGTCCAATCCTCTGCAGTGCAGGAATCTTAACTAAAGCATCCATTACTCCCAGCACATTTCCAAGCACAATCCAAAGTGTTGCTGCTGACCTTTAAAGCCCCAAAGGGCTTCGGCCCTGTATACCTGAAGGAGCATCCCCACCCCCCATCATTCAGCCTGGACACTGAGATCCAGCTCCGGGGGTTTTCTGGCAGTTCCCTCATTGTGAAAAGTGAGGTTACAGGGAACCAGGCAGAGGACCTTCTCGGTAGTTTTGCCCACTCTGGAACACCCTCCTGTCAGATGTCAAGGAAATAAACAACTATCTGACTTCTAGAAAACATCTGAAAGCAGCCCTGTATAGGGAAGTTTTTAATGTTTGATGTTTTCTGTAGTTTTATAATTTGTTGTAAGCCTCCCAGAGTGGCTGGGACAACTCAGCCAGATGGGTGGCATATAAATAACATAATCATTGCCATTATCATTTCATTTTGGGTGAAGAGAGAGGCAGCTCCGCCTTCTCTCTGTCACCCAATAGCATTTCTCCATCTTCTTCACTCAAGGGACCTATTGCTTGCTTGTTCTTCCTCTTGCTTTGAACGTAGCCAAAGAAACCCTTTTTATTTGACAAACCTGGGTCTGCTACACAGAAAATCTGTAATTATCAACCTACTTGTAACCTCCCTTCCATGCTTCTTAATACAGAAGTTGAGAAATTGGGGTGGGAGAAATGCTAAAGGGTTGGTAATGGTCTCTACCCATGACAGACACCCCCCCTCACCCTTGTTCTTTCACAAGGCAGCAGAAAAAACCTAGGACACAGGTGTGGTCCTTGGCAGCCAGGACTCTAACTCTGGCTATGAGGAAACAAACTGTATCTTTATTGCCTATTCCCACACCAGGGTTAGAGGTCATGTGAGTTGTAGTCTAGCCACACATTTCCCATATTTGCTCTAAAGGCCTCTCAGTCTACTGGTACCCTCCAGGCAAAGGTAGTCTTGAATAGGCTCAGCACTTAACACCTAATGTTTAGCGGAAGTGGTCCAAGCTTTTGAAGGATCTTCTAACTTTGGGGCGGGGAATATGTATCTTTTTCTACCCTATCTCTCTTCCCATGAGTTCCCCGTGAGTACCCATGTTTATGCCTTTGTTACCTAATGAGTGTTCTGCATTCTGTTTTCATTCTACACCATATGAGGAAGTATTTCCAAACCAGACAAACCAGGATTGCAAGAGCGCCAAACCATAGTTTGATATTAAATCCAAACCAACCCATGTCTTCAGCATTTGTAAATCCTTCAAAATATCAGTAACCAAGTTGTGTCATTATCAAGTGGCATCATTTTTTTGGAGTTATGGGCATGCAATCTTATTTTGTAGAAGGCTAGTTATATTAATATCAATAATTATATAATTAGCAGTGTGAAAATGATTCCAGATGAAAAAATCTTTCCTCGTTTTGTGCCAAACCCTGATACATTAGAGAACAGTTCCTTTCATTATTGCAATTGAAGTATGAGAAGCTCCTTTGATTGATTTGATGACAATTATGTCACACAGTTTCACATATTTGTGAGGAACTGCAATGGATCATTGCTGTAAGTGTCAGAGGAAGAAAAAAATAGGACTTAAAAAAGCCTACAAGAAGTTTACAAGCTAAGATTTCAAACATATTCTGAATGTGCATGCAATTTGCCTGAATATAATCAGATGTATAGTTACTTGAGTAGAGTATATTATCAGAATTCTGCATTTGTCCAAGCCTGTTTAAATAAACAGAGTTTATAGCAGTGGCAGGACTGAAGGTCTAGGCACTGTGACTGCAGTCCTTCACTCAAATATACGTACTCAACACTGAAATAAATGAGATACATTCATTACTGTTCACTGCGGGTTCCAGTGTGCAATACTACATGTACTTATCTGGGAATGAGCCCCTTTTAACAAAAAGTTATTTACTTCTGAGTAGTCATGTTTAGGGGTGTACTGTTAAGAGGGCACTTCTACAAGCACTGCTTCCGATATGATAAAATTCCTCTGTGGAAAGCACATCTAATGAAAATCTATGTATAGGTTGCCAGGTGTAAACATACCATAGTATTTAACATTTTCTTCATAGAGTCATAGAATTGTAGAGTTGGAAGGGACCCCAAGGGTCATCAAGTCCAACCCTCTGTATTGCAGGAATCTCAGCTACAGCATCCATGACAGATGACCATCCTACCTCTGCTTAAAAACCTCCAAGGAAGGAGAGTCCACAACCTCCTGAAGGAGACCATTCCACTGTCAAACAGCTTACATGGAAGTGTTTTTGCTGTGTGCGCGCGTACACACAAACACACTGAAGGGGTCCTAAACATATGACAAGTACTTCTTGAATAAATGCTGTGGGCTAACTAGAAACATTTCTTAAAGATGTGATTCAGTCATGCAATGTGCATACGTTCTGGCATGCAGATGTTAGAAGGGAATGACTGAGAAGGGAGCTAAGGGGAAAAATGGAAATATGTATCAGTGCTGTAACCAAAGGGCACGGCAGTTATGCGCAATGGCACGAGTGTCTGATCATTTGCAGGCAGGCAGACATAATTTAGAATTCATTCTAGACGCCACAAGCTAACTACATTTTTCTAAGTTCTATATTTTTCTTTTACTTTCACTTCATTGGTCAGTT